ACGTCCTGAGAAACAATATATTATGAAACGATATGTACCAATCGAGCAAAGTGTAAATGTGAAGCTTCTAGTGATTATTTTCCTTTACTTTAATGTCTTTTGTGTGTGAGAGAGAGAGACATTAATTGCAACAAGATCAATGATTAGTCTCCTTGGAATCATGATTAGCAAATTATACAAGTAATGGAGTACTACTATGTATTACTTTCATGTTTATGGCTAGTATTCACCTAATAATCTCTATGTTTGCTCCTACCCAACAAAATTAACGATATTTATAAGAATACACTGAGTATGTTATTATTATTATTGTTGTGCACTATAATAATTCAAATGAACCTCTTGCGCCTCTGGCTTTGATCATAGATAGAAGTTTGCAATTGGAAGGTGTGAATGTATTTATATGTAAATAGTCCTAACTTTTCTAGACATAACAAGAGTCTTTATGTTATACAATAATTATCCTTAAACAGTTAATAATGAAACTACAATCCAAGGACCATTAGCCTACTTATGATGATGAACAAGGATAAAGACACCTTAACCACCATTGAACATTTGAAAAATAAATAAAAATATAAGTAGCAATAAATAAAAAATTCTCATGCATTAAAACAAAGTGTCTCAAAGGTCAAAACAGTTGTCATGCTTCACTTTTCGAAAGTTAATGTAATTAATCTTCAAAGTAAATTCAGATTTAATTTATTTAATATTTTTAAAATTTAAATATTCAAATTTATACAAAAGATACTATAAATTACAATTCTTTTTACTATATATTTATATGATTTAATACTATATTATATCTTAATAAAATTTTTGTAGAGTTTACCTATCGAAAAGTGAAATATGACTATAGTACATATTATTTTGAAAAGCAGGGAGCACAAGTGAAGACTAAATTAAAAGATTGTACTTTTTGTTACCAAACTTAGTTGTCTTATTTATAGTTTTGGCTTCAATCATATTGTACTTTTGTCACCATCTTTATGAACCTCCAAATTCATTTTATTAGCCATGAATATCAAGGGGACCTCCTCATTATTATAAAGAACAAGTCAAGAGTTCAATATGTGGAGGAAGTGAATTGTAAAAAAAGATATATAAAAAATCAATAATGATATTAATGGATTCAAGTTATAGTAAAAAAATAATAATATCATATTAGTAATATAATTTAATATTTGATATTTTTCTCTCTTATAATAGCGATTGACTGATATACCATATGTGATTTTCAATGCTAGAGATGCCTTCTATTTTAACTAGATTACGACTCATATAGTTTATTTTAACTCAAAAGTTGAGTTAGACTATCTTTGGTCAAGAAGCCTACTAATATATATATATATGTTTTCACTTACACCTATAATTGATAGAATCATTTTTTTCATATATTTACGTTAAGATATTCACTTAATATGTATATGATCTAAAATTTTGAATCCAACTTTGATGTTATTAATTAATAATTGTTTATAAAAGTCAATATTTTGAACTAGAATTGTACAAATATATATTCAGAAGTGGGGGACGGGAAAATAAATTAAATTCATCATCTACCATATGTGTATATATAGTCTCTTAAGTCAACATCTAATATTAAAATCAAAGAAAAAAGAGGACCACTTTAGCAGTGACATGAAGTGAAATAAATTAAATGGGGGAACATATAATTCATGTGATCGTCCTTAACTTGCAACTACCATAAGTTTTTACTATATATATACCAAATGCTTTTATTAGATAACGATATTTAATATCGACTATATATATCATAAAATTCTTAGAGGTTTCAAAGTTCGAACTTTTAGACTGTAATAATTCCTAGTAATGCTTTCCTTATAAAATGTTTTACATGACATAAATATAAATTAATCGGACTAATTTTGGAGGCAGACCTTGAGTAAAATCAAGACAGAATACTTGGAATGCAAGTTTGTAGCTTGCCATTTACAAACTTATTTTTAGTTTTATGTCTTTTATATATATATACATATATATATATATATATATTACTTTTACAAATATAAGAGATCTTCAATTTTACACATAAAAAATTCAAAAAAATATCATTTTCTTCTGTTCAACTTTTACGTGATTAGTTGTCAGCCTATATTCATCAAATTAATTATTATCCTAAGATGGGATAATATAGCATGTTACATTTTTCTTGCGTGGGAAATTATCATATAGTCTACATAGTCCTGTTTTTTTTTTAAAAAAAATTATTATTATTTATGGGACCATGCATTTTGGTTAATAATTGTGAAAAGAACACAAGAAAGTAGACAATAGTAGTAATAAAGAAGCATCACCAGCTATAAGTACCCGGTCCTGGCTATACATATAGATTATAGACCCACACAAGAGAAAAAAATGCAGGTTGCATAATTAATTCAACCCAAAGTTTGGTCCCAAGAAATTAAAATAATTTGAAATGACTAAACACTTAAATTTATTCTCAAATATCAATGTGAACAATAAATTAGAAATAGACCTAATTGGATGAGTTGATTAACCTAACTAGTCAAACATGTAAACATTAGCTCATGAGATGAAAATTGGACAAGACAATATTATGTGTCACATGGGATTCATCCATCCTTCACCCCACGACTAATACGGGGGATCCAATATCGAGGAAATGGGATCAAATTAACATTCATCATTATGTCAAAAGTTATTATTACTGATAATAAAAGTACACCTTTGTGGGTCTTGTGATCATAGTCAGGATGTTAACGTTACTTAACATAATGAATTAGAATGAGTCTGATTAAGATTATTCCAAACGCCAGCACATGAAAAATATCCGATAAATACATAAATCCACTTGTCACTAGCTTTTTAATCGGAAACCCTAACATCAATAAATAACAATAGTGTAGAATTAGATTTCCGCAAGATATGTGATTGGCATATTGTCTGGTTACCATGAATATACAAATTAATGTATTGAAAAGTCAGTTCCAAATTAATACATCTGACCACTTCCTTCATATATCTGTCCCACCCCCAAAAATATACACAACATATAATATACACCCAATACATAAATAAATATGTCATTTAACATAACTTTAGCGGTGTACAAATAGACACTTCAAGATGTACAAAGTTGAACAATTACACACAGAGGCGGAGCTAGGTGGGGGTTCGTGGGTTCGGATGAACCAATACCTTTTCTATAGATTCTGTATTTTTATTAGAAAATTAAATATATATA